ATACGAAATGAAAATCCTACTCCCGTGACGCAAATTCTGCTCTACATTGCAAGGTGATTCGTAATTCTTAAACAATAACATAAAAAGTACAATGTAGAGTAGAATTTGCATCACGAGAGTAGGATTTTCATTTCGTATTTTCGTTGGTCATTTGAAATCCTACTTAACCTTGTTTTTTTTAATTTTTATGTTCTATTAACATGGACACACAACTAATAGTAATGAGACTAGCAATCATTGATCCTAATCCTTTTATATCAAATACTATTACTATACTAATGTTAGAACAGGCTGGAAGTAATGAACCATTTATGTATAGCGTTTGGTAAGTATGCGTTTATATTAAATATTCAAGTATTACATTAATAGATACATATCTTCCTTCTCCTAACAAAATCTAAAGAAAGAGTAGCTACCTAAAGCATCTCTAAAAAGCTACTCTATTAGCTCTAGAAAGTCTGGAAACTTAATTAAACTTATAAAATTATTCTTGGTGAGTTATGTTGCTTGTGAATGAAATTGCCCCCAAGTTATCTGTTTCAAAAAAGTTATAAAGAACTTGATAGCAGTTTGATCTAAGACTCCTCTATATTAGTCCTCTCATTGACAGAATGATATATTTTGAGAATTAAGAGCAGCTTGATTAATAGATTAGAAGTTTAGCTTTGGTTTTTTATTACATACCAAAGTGGCAGCACTATTTCTGGTCCCTTTCATTGGCTGATGATTAACTATTTGGTTTTGTTAGTTGGTGTGTTTGCTCTGTTCAGGCCCTGACCATGAGGATGGGGTCTGAATATACATGCAGTTATGGTCTCACAAACAAAAAGGGAACAATTTTTTTTTCTCATTAACCCATAGATATTTTATTTTATTTATATCGTTGAAATTTCAAAAAAAGTCAATTGATAGCTCATGTTCACCCCTCAATGTTTACATTCACTTAAAATGTAAATGAGGGGTCTGAAACAAGCTCAAATCTTATATGGGATGCCTGGATTCCTGAATTTAGTTGCTGGATTCCAGATAGCATGCTACAAAAATGCTTGTATAACACTAAATACAGCCTATAAAATTCTTAAATCTTGGGTTCCACCTTTCAAGCCTTTGATTCCACTGGATTCTATTTGGATTCCAAAGAGAGTGTACTGGATTTCAGGGTGTGTCAGATAGGGCTAGGCAAATTATGCTTCAATTCCTGCCTATTATGCTTTTAGGCACTGCTCCAAATGTCATCCTATTATGCTTTGAAAAAAATCCAATTATGCTCATTTTATGCTCATACTTTATGCTTTAATCAAGTATCGACTATCAAGTTACATGTATGTATCTGTTATAATTGTAATGAATAATGCTAGAATCTGGAAATGTTTCCAAAGACTTTGAGTCACTGGAAAATAGAATAGCCTAAGTTATTGTACTAGTGCTTGTACCACCATCTGCCATATTGAACTGCAATTTCATGTGGTCAGGGGTATATGGACAAAATATTTTTACCCATTATGCTCCAATTATGCCAGCATAATCACTTGCCCTATTATGCTCCAAATTAGGCTAGCATAATTTGCCTAGCCCTAGTGTCAGACCCTTCAATTTAAAATTAAAAACATATACGTGACCAGCAACCAATACTTAAAAATAGTCTCACATTAACACAAGTAGTTAAGAGTTATAGACAAGACATATTAAAAAAGCAATTCATTAAAACACATTACAGATTAGATTCACTCGTGGGTGTGGTGTCAGGAGTCATGTCATTGGGTAGTCATTGGGTGCCTTCTGGTCAAATGAGGTGGAAGGGGCAGAATCTACATGTAAAATTAAGAATTTATCAGGTATAATTCAAATGGTTTGATAACTCTTAAGCTGCTTTGACAAAATTTTGTAGGGATTAATATTCACTATTTTTGCTGTCAACACTAACTTATGAAATTTCACCCTGCAATTTTTGTGGATTTCGCATTTTTTCAAAATTCACAAAAATAAAACCGATGAAAATTAATTTAATACGGTTCAATTAAGATGGCCAAAAAGTAGAAAACCATGAAAATTAAAGCCACAAAATTGATTTTTAGACGGATGTGCAAAAATTTGGGCCACAAAATTTCTCGTTATAATGGTATATGACCACTTTTTAATGGCTTTAAAAAACGCGAAATGTAGTGAATTTAATATTTTCCCAAAACCGTGAAAATTTAAAACTGCAAATATTTGTACCCGTATAGTATGCAGCATAGCCTCTTTAGTCAACCTCACCCTCCATTCCCAATCCAGCAACTGACAATGGTATTTTCAGTCATTAGAATTTTATAATTTTTGGAAAATTGTCTGTTTTGGTATTTTTCTTTTGTTTAAATTTTTAATAGTCCAACAATTTTAATAGTCCCAAAATGGGGCCAAAATTACCCACAATTCTAAAATTTTTATTATATATAATTGTATTGGCCTATGTGAAAAGTTTGGGCTGATTTCAATGAAAAATTTTTGAGTCATTGTTACTTTTATACAAGTGACAAAAGTATAAGCTATAGCCCATAGTTGTCCAAAATTGGTTCCAAAAATCACCCCAACAATTTTTATTAATAGTGCTACATGAACTTACTGGCTCTTTTCTTCCCACAGGCTTTTTTCTTTTTTCTTACTACACGTATTAAAACAATTGTTACTATGATTAGTATGATTAGAATCACAGTAATACACCCAGCAATAACTGCAATAATTACTATATAAATCAATGAATGAATAATTTAGTCAGTTTATGTAATGATAAACCTGTTGTTCTTGGTGTTCCTGGAGGTAAAGTAACTGTTTCATCAGTACCAGTAGGTGATGGTGTAGGATCAAATGGAAGAAAGGTGTCTGTATGTGTACAGGTATTAAAATATACTGATTACTGAATACTTACCGAATTCAAGTGTAAATAGTTCACTACTACCAACACGATTACTAAATACAATACTGATATTACACTCTTCATATAGTGGCACTAAAACTGATCCTGTTATATTTCTAGGCTGTGAATATTCTACCAATTCAGTACTAGTAAATACAATGCCAGTTCCATTACACTGTATAGTAACTGTAGCATTCTCAGGAGATTCACCAGTACACTCAATTATGACCTATAATGATTGTAGTATAATAATTATTAATAACATGATATTACTGGTATGCTAAAAGAAGCATTAGCCCTAGTCTCATTAAATGTTGTTACATAAAAATGAGCTCTTGAAACTGATCTTGGTACTACATGAACATAAAATCATTTATTCAGTAATATTTTTTGTTGTACCTCTTTGATATGAGAATGTATCATTATTAGATATTCCTTCTCCTAATTCATTAACTCCAGTTATAGCATATGTATAACGATGAATAAATAAATTATTATCCACAAACTGATAACTGGTATCATATACCGAAACATTCTTTACTAGACTACCAGTAATAGCATCATATATTCTTAGTATGTAATACTGTATAGATACTCTATCATCAACTGTAGGTGCAGTCCATGTTATATCAATAGTAGAACAGTTGTCAATTGAAGAGTCAATGTTAGTAACTGGTCCAAGATAACCTTGCATATGCAATGACGAATAATTATGTAGTGACAAAGTTTACTTACCAAATGTAAAAGATGATATATTATCGAAGGTGCCTCCATTATTACTCAACAATACATTAACAGTAAATGTATTTAAATTATTAGGTACATTTACTACTTCAGTAATCATCTGTTGATCATCAATATGTGGTGTTATACTTTTACTTGTTATTACTGCATTATCAGTATTCAGTATACTAACTGTTATACTATTAGGATACTCTCCTTTGCATAATGTAGTTACCTATAGGAAGACACAAAAATGTCTATTTCCATTCAAAAATGTCATGCAGCATTATAGTAAATTAGTAACCACATAGCAGGAAATTTTGGAGGGGCAAATTTAGCCATTTGCCAAAATAAAAATATAAAAATCTAACATTTTGAGCCATTATGTGCATGCTCAATGGAACATGGCCACAAATTTGCCAAATTAGAATTTTGCCAATCACCAAAATTTAGCAATTTGCCAAATTTAACTCCCTCCAAAATTTCCCACTATAAGCATAGATATAGCTCACTCAAACCATCAGACTACTCTTCGTCAGATTAAATTGAGAATGGGTATTATACTTACATCAATCCTAACAATCAATATTAGATCTAGTGGCTGCCTATCAACTGTTACTGGTACCACTGATAAAGGAGGAGTGATGAGAGAAACTGAAAAATAATAATGAATTATAATATCATTTTAGAAACTTGTAAAAAAATTTCCTAATAAGCCCCACTGCTGGTAAAAAAACATACAATACAAGACAGATTTATAACATAGTGCTGGACCCCAGCGTATTGTCAATTTTAAATCAAAAGTGTGGGTAATTTAACCTTTTGATTCATGAATATACACTAGAGTTAAATCAAATTCAACGTTAACATCAAT